AATTGAATAATAACCTTCATGCTCCTTGATATCCTTGCTCCTTGATCCTTGAAGCAACATAATCCGGCACTCAAGTAGCCCAACTAATCCTACCAATGCACAAATGCATTCTGGCGCAGTTGCCCTTTGAGTCCAGGACCACCCTCGAAGGCTGCCTCCGAAATGCACTTCATTCCACACGACTGCAGTCGGCTTCCATGCCATTATCCTGTTGTCCATGACCATTAAGCAGTCAAGATTTGTTGTCAAGCATTTTGATGGCGTCATGATTGATAGACGGCCGGGGTAGAGGACCAAAAAGGACACAAATGCACTGTAGTTGCTGCTGGGCATAAAATTTGAGGCATGATTTGATGATTATAGACTAGACTTGGCGCTTGAGCGAGTCCAACCAGCAAGGACGAGTCTATTTGCGGGCCTTGACTTGATTACCAGCCGACAGCCAGACATCCTGCAATGACACTGAAAGAAATAGTCTCATAGCCTATATTTTCTAGCAAAATTTTAGTTCATTTTTGGTTTTCAGTGTCTATTTTGTCACTTGGCAACCGGCTGCACTTTCAATTCGCTGGCCAAAACCACAAAAACGTTGCCAAAAGGACGAAGGATGTGCCGGCGTGGCAGGGGCCGTTTGGGGTGGCAGACAGCCAGCAGCTGCGACATGTTGCGACACCAAAAGGGGTGACTTCTCTGGCGCTGGCCAAGAATTCAAGATTGGCGATTGAGCCTCGGAATCAGGATATCCAAAAATATACATCCAACTCCCAGAGTTGGAGGACACTGCGGACATTTTCGAGAAATGCAGCCCCGAAGGCACGCGGCTAGAAATGGAAACCGGAAATGTTTTCACCTTTCCCGCTCCCCCCCTTTTTGAGGGAAAATGAAAATACCGGAAATGGGTGCAAATGCGACGAATCGCTCTTATTTGGTTAACATGTGTGTGTGGCAGAGCTTGTGTGTGGCAGGGTGTGAGCGTGGCAGAGTGTATGTATTTTATGTTGTGTCTGATTTGCAACGCCGCAGGGAATCGAGCGTATCGCAAAGGTTGAATAATATCACAGTTTATGGGGGAAAGGGACTGCTCAGAGTGGCGGTGTGAAAAGGTCAAGGGGGCTCTGAGGTTGGAGGTAGTACTAGCCATATACTGGCCATTGCGCAATAATTTACATGCAATTAAATGCAAAATAAATGCAGAGAGATAAGTGATTATCCAGAAGAGAACAAAAATTATAACTGCCTGGTCTAATGATTTCAAATAGAAAGTGAAATCAGAGAGAGGGAAAGGATTTTTAAATAAAAAATGAGGTTTTTGGAAGGAAAATGAATATGGAAGGGACTTAAAATCTATTCTGATCATTGTTAAATTAAAATTAATTCAAAATAGGATGTAGGATGGGATATAAGATAGGACATAAGATGGGATATTGGATAGGAAGTAGGATAGAATGAAGGATAGGGTGTAGGATGGGATATACAATGGGATATAAGATACCTAGGATGTAGAATAGGATGTAGAATAGTATATAGGATGGGATATAGAATGGGATATAGGATAGGATGTAGAATAGGGTATAGGATGAGATACAGAATAGGATATGGGCTAGGTATAGGATATGCTATAGGATAGGAAAGAGAATATTATGTAGAATAGGATATAGCATAGGACATAGGATGAAATATAGGATAAGAAAGAGGATAGGTTACGGAGTATCTAAAACACATCTAAAAGAACTTTGTATATAGTTTCTTTAATCTCCAGACTCCAGACTTAAAGCATAATGAATACCATAGAGATCATAAAGAATTTTTAAGATACATTCTATGAAACAACCCAAAAACAAACTCCCTTCCAAAAAAATCCCTCTAAAAATAGCTTCAAAATCTTTACCAAAATCCCCTCGACAAACCCCCTTAAACCAATCCCGATATAAATCCTGATGCATTGACCAGAATGTCCTGGACATCCAGAATGTCCTGCGTAATTGAAAATGCAATTGGGAACAAACACGGAAATTAAACCGTTAACTGTCCTTTTGCGGTTGTTGCGGTTGGAGAGGAAAATGGAAAAGCAAACCACAAGCCCGGAGATGGGAAAAGTGCAAGTAAATTGCAATCGCCATGTGTTTCAATCAATCTGGAGTCTTTCAAGCAAAAATAAAGTATATAACTTTTAAAAATTAGCTTTAAAACAAAAGCTAAAAACAAATGCCTTTAAAACAAAAGTCAACGAACTGAAAAGAGTGTGTGACGAAATGCATTTGTAGGCCTTCTGTTTTGAAGCCAGACGTTGGCTAAAAGCCTGCAAATGGCCTAAAACAGAGTAAGGGCCGGGGGGCTGGGCTGGGGGAAGTGTAACTCCTAAATGCAAGTGGCAGGCAAAGTGGAAGGTGGAAATGGGAATGCAAATGCCAGACGAAGAGCCATTGTGACAGGTGGCTGTATGTTGCATGTTGCTTTGTGGAGCACAATAGTCTCCAACTAAGGCTTTAAATTCTTTGAATAGTTTGGGGATATCTATACATACATGTTTATATCTTGGTATATATGTAGATATATATATTTTAAGATAAATGAATTGTCATCAATGGCAAAGGTCGTTACGCCTTTTTATTGTTCGTTCCACAAATTAAATTTGTCAATTCGAACCAATAAAATGCAGACACTCGGGCATTATATGCAAGTACAGTGTCTGACAAACGTGTAAGCAAAGTTTCTAATATTAAGGAGATTGTAGAGAGGTTAAGGGGTTACTGTTCTATAATTCCATCATTTCTTGAGGGGTTTGTTGGAAAAATACTATTTTTTTAATAGTCATTACACCCTTTATCTAAATATTAGGATTTTTCCTCCCCCAAAACCCAACCATATACCTATGAACCACACTGTCTTTGTCAAGCAATATCCAGTGTCCTAGCTCACACCTTTCCCGTGCCCAGGCCCTCTCCTTACTTGCCTTCTCTGATTCCCCAAGATCCTCCAGCATGACCATTTTGGGTGATTTTTTTTTTGTTGGGACTGGCCTTTTGGAGCTTGTTAAGGCATTTTTACGCTCGTTTCTGTCTGTCTGCAAATTGCATTTCCTCGATGGTCAAACAGACACGCCACGCCCCTCTACTTTGTGACCCACCGCATTATTAAATCAGGATAAAATGTTAGAGAGTCTTTCGCTCTCTCTGTCTTGTTTAGTAATGGAATCAAACGGAGCAGCAGCAGCTGAAAAGTATGCTTTAAAAAGCAATGCAGCCAAATCAAATAAAAAGTCAACCCCAAATCGTGGGCTGTGGACTTTATAAACATCATTGTCGTTTCGACTGCTTATTGAAAAATTGTACGCAACTCGGCCAGAAATCATAAACAACGCCACAGGGTGCCACTTCCCTCAGTTGGCATTTATTGAAATCTGAAGTAAGAAAAAATAAAAATAAGAATAAGAATAAAAAAATTAGATATGTATGTATTATGGAGAAAAATATAGAATGTCTTTTTAAAGAGAGGGGGAAGGAGGAGGAGTACAAGTGCGTGTGTATATAATTGCATGCTTTTAGGGTTGATGCTGATGCTGAAGCTTCTGCTGCTTTGGAAAATTGAAAAGCAAACACAACAAAGGCCCAGGCAGCGAGTCTGAGAATCAGAGAATCAGAGAATTGGAGAATCACTTAAGAAATTCTACCCGAAAGCGATTTTAATTCCTCTTGAATGACTGGCGATGGACAGGTCCCATGGGGGGAAGGAGGGATAATTTCAGCGATAAAGCTTAAGAATGGAAATTATAATAAAATTTTAGAAGCTGGAAAATGGAAATAAAATATGAGGGAAATATATTTAATAATTAAGGAATAATAATACATATTAAAAATTAACATAAAATATTAAATGATCCTGGGAACCGAATCCTAGGAATGAATCAATGTTTTAATAAGAACATGTTTTAATAAGAAAAGGTTTATATTTTAAATAAAGTATTTGTTTCAAGAGAAGATTATAATTACAATAAAATATTTGGAAGATATTGAAAGGGTAAAGTATAATAATAAATATTATAAAAAAAATAAATGAAAGGAATGAACATGAACATGAACACAAAATGAATCTTAAGAATGAATTAATCAAGAATAAAATGTTTTTGACAAGAACAGATATAATTTTTGTCTAATAACCCAGTAACATTTAATTATAAAAAATCTATAAACAAGGCCTTAAATATAAATTAAATATTTTTTAAACCATAACTCATCTCTTACAACAATACCTCCCCTTCTTTGATTTCTGGTGCGTGACTTTAAGTGAAATGCTCATTATGAAAAGTTTTCACAGGCGATTAGCAAGCTGGAGACTTTTATTTTTTTGGCTTCCATGGTCTTGGCCAGATCCTTGACCAGGTCTGGAACTCATACCCTGGCCCTTCAACGGGGGGAACTCCAGCACTTTCTCTGGTCGATTTAACGCCGCGATTTGTCGCAGCGTCTGCAAAGTTTTGTCCCAACCAACAAAAAAAGTGGCAAGGGCAAGCGGCAAGTGGCAGGAGGCAAGAAAAATAAGAGCCAAGAGGAAAAGTCATTGTTGCAGCAGGTAGAGTTGGAGGGGGGGTGGTATTATGGTAAAATAGGGACGATTTATCATCCATAAGTGGGAATTTATGGGCGAATTGTGAACGCAACATTTAACGCTCAGTCGCAGGAAAAGGACTCACTTAAGGATTTGCACCAAGCACCCACCTCCAGGAAGCAGAGGACTCTGAAAGGATAACAACTTTTTCATTATTTAAAAATAAAGAAAAATTTTATAAGAAAAAGAATAAAAATTAAAGAAATTTTAATAAAATAAGAAGTGGAGGATACTTCTATGAGTTCTGCTTTTAAAGTAAATCTTTAACTAAAAATCATAGACTATTTTTATATTTTAAAGCATATTTTTTAATGCTTAATTAAATCTTAAATATAAAACCGTAAATATTTAAATAAAACCTCTTACTTATACCCCTATTTCTCTTATCCTTTCAGACCTTCATAGTTCGTGGCTCCAGCCAGCCCAATACCATGGCCGTGTCGGTTCGCCTGCCCCAGGACACAGGTCCCTACATCGAGCACTATCTGATCCAGTCGCACGACAATGTCCTGAGCCTGGAGAGCTCACGGTTCACCTTCGGATCGATACCCTCTCTGATCGCCCACTATGCCCAGTGCTGCGATGAGTTGCCGGTGCAGTTGATGTTGCCGCGAGTCCTGCGAGAGGCCAACAACCGCAAGAAACTGTCCTCGCTGGCGCTCCTGGGTCAGGAGTTCTGGAGCTATGCCAGCAGTCCGGCCATGCTGGGACCACCGACCACACCGGCCGGCGATCGTCCCGGCAAGGAGCAGCATCATCATCAGAAGCAGCTGCTGGACGCCAAGTCGCCACTCTCCCTGACAGAGACCAGTGGCCTGGGCACAGCCACCTTTTTCAGCGACGTCCTGTCCAAGCCGGCACCGTCGGGGGCGCCACCCGTGCCGGGCGGCGGCGGAGGAGCCAACACCCTGTTCAGTCCCACGGGCAGTGGACCGCTCCTCGGATTCTTTAGCCAGGCGGGCACACCCTCGGACACCACCAACTCGAGCCTGAGCTCCTTCACCACCAGTGGCGGCCAGCACCTGCAGCTGCTGAGTCCCAATTCCATCGATTCGGTTATCCTCACCATGTCCCCGGTGGACAATCCGGTTCACTACTTGCCCGGCTGCTCGGCCACGACTCCCTTGTGTCCTCCTCCAGGCTCCAGTGCCGACCAGCAGCAGCTGAGCACCTTCAAGGTGGTGCAGAGCGTCACGGATCAGGTGGAGCAAGTGCGTCCGCAGAGGCCCAAGCCACCGAACACCTTAAATCTCAAGCCGGCAGCGCCACCGGCCCCGCCTGTGAGGTGGTCCAAGCCCCACTCGCCGGACCAGACGGGCGGCAACTTTACGGTCACCACCACGGTGACCTTTTCGATGGAGAACGGCGGAGGTTCTGGCGGAGGAGCTGGGGGAGCAGCCAGTGCGGCAAACGGAAAGTTCATAGAGGTGACCACGCCGGCCACCAGCAACCCCTTCAATGCCCTGCTCAACGGACCCGGTTCCACGTTCCAGACCTTCGCCAAGCGACTGTCTCCGGAGGGCGAGTGCAAGGACACCCTCTCCTCGCAGGGCTCCTCCTCGAACGACGGCCGCTGGCCGGCGTCTGCCTCCCGCAAGGTCCTCGCCTCCCCGCTCACCCCCCTCAGCAGCACCGCCAGCAGCAGCACCAGCACGAGCGGCGGCAAGTCCCGCAAGTCGCGGGCGGGCAAGGAGTCGCATCACTACAAGGAGTCCGACATCCTGGAGAGTCCCCCGCCCCAGTACTGCGCCAGTGCGCTGAGCGACAAGATCAGCGACTACGAGGATGTCTGGTCGCATGATCCCAGCGACCGGGCCAGTCTCCTGACCAGCTTCCGCCCCGCCCTGGACACGCTGGGGGGCGTGGTCAACCGAAGACCGGATCTTCTGGCCGAGACACGTAAGTGGAGGGGAGACTTGAAGCCATTATCCTTTTCTAATGTCCTTCTCTTGCAGCGAGCACTCCCACAGCGGCGCCCCTGCCCCATCTGACGCCCTGCGAGGAGGAATCCGCCCCAGCCACTGCCCAGCTGATGCAGTTTTCCGGCGACGCTCTGCCCCGATCCCGAGCCGGCCTTTTGCTACCAAATCTCAACACTGCAGCTCCATCGCCGGCCCCAGGAGCCGGTGCCGGTCCCGCTCCCAGCCCAGCAGTGATGAGCCAATCCCTGACAGCGGCCGAGGACGATGGTGGCGATATCACGCCCACAGCCGACGAGGGGGCTGGGAGGAGCAAGCAGGGTAGTCCCTTCTACGCCGAACCGGCGGATGCACTGCGTCAGGCGGGCCTGACGAGTGGCGCCACCGCCATACTCCGGCGACAGCATCGCAACCAGATGCTGCACGCCAGCCAGCGGCACTCGGAGCCCCTGAAGGCGGGCTTCGGAGCGACTAACGGGAATGGAGCTCTGCTGCAGCCCAGCGAGCTGGAGAAGCTGGCGGGCAGCCTTGACGAACTGAAGCCCAAGCCGAAGGTGATGCCGCCGGCGCAGCCACAACAGCCCACGAAACGGGCCCGGAACCGGATCGATCACTGGCAGCTGGACAGCAGCTGGGAGTTCATGGCCAAGCAGGACACCAATGGGTGCGGTGGTGACTACGACGATGCCGCCATCATCGACTGGCAGGAGAAGGAGAACTCGCTGGGCCGGGACCAGGGTGCGGGCAAGAAGCGTCCGCCACTGACCGTTCACCAGATCATTGCCAAGCGCCTGCCGGATCTGAATCTGCCGGAGCTGGTGAGGTGCTCCACCCCGCCGCAGGGCAGCACGGCTGCTCCACTCCAGCCCCTCCAGATGCTGGGCCAGGAGAAGCAGCCGGGCTGCGACGGCGGCAGCCAGAAGTCATTCCAGAGCCAGAACGGCTGCCGGCTATCCTCCTACGACAACGTCTTCTGCCACAACTCGTTCGGGGGCATCGACTCGGCCCAGTCGGACGATGGCACCATTTTCTCGGAGCCCTGGGACTCGTCCCAGTGGGACACCTTCCTGCCACACGATGGTGAGTATTGGAGGATTTCTACCTGAGGATTCCCAAAGGATTAATCTTCACTTTTCCATTCCATAGATGCCACTATCAACTCGGACACCATCCACCTGTCCAAGTGCCGACCCGCTCTCTCCGAGGACGACACGATAATCGAGGAACTGCAAAGCACCAAAGACGGCAGCAACAGTAGCTGCAACCAGGACACCCTGAAGGCCAACCGAAACGGTGCTGGACACCATCACCAGAACGGCAACAGCAATGGCAAGGCCAATAGTCGCCCCAAGGTGGCCACCATTCTCCGCAATCCCAGTATGCGGGATCGTGAAGTGTTATGTGAGTATAGCTCTTATGGTATTAGATTAAGGGTTAAGGGTTAGTACCTGGTACTCTATAATCTAGAGGATTATGCTGAAGGTACTTGCTGGGGTGTACTTTGGTATATAATTATAATCGGTATTTGGAGAGTTTTAAGAAGGTGGTACCCATCCTATACTACCTATCTAAGGTTTCTTTAAACCTCGATAGACCATAGTATTCGTACCCGATACTTGTAGAGTCTATAACTGGGATTATAAGATCATCATCCTATAAGATCAAGTCTCTTTTCTATCTCTATTGCTTTGGGGTATTATTTTCACGAAGATTCTATATAGTAATACCCTGTACTTGGAAAGAATGTATCAAGATTATACATCTATACCTCCCTAACTCCCAAAAACTATATCATTTTAAAGAGATCCATGAACCATCATAAGGCTATAAGATGTAGGCCCTTTTCTCTTTCTGTTCTTTTGGCATCCTTTTGAAAGTAGCTACTATGTACTACCCGATACTCCCACCGAATACAACTCCATATAGCTAAGATATATGGATCTATACCCCCATATCTCTCAAAAACCATACCATTCTGAAGCAACCTACTATATCTACCAGCACTTGACAGCATTTTGCCTTCATTTATTGTCTCGTGAGCCTGAAAAGTGGAGTAAAGACTCTACAGTGATTATAATTCCTGAAGTGATACCGATTCAGATTCCGATTCTGATCAGTATCATGCTGGAGTGCAATCAGTTGTTATTGTTGCATCATCATCATCATCATCATCATAATCATCATCGTGCAGCATCCATGGCCATCTCAATCCAAGCAAAACAAAATCACGAGCAGCTGATAGCAATTATATGGAATAGAAAATCAGTAAACCATCTCGACATCGTCATCGTCATCGATTCAGTAAATATATAAATAATAGCAAAAATATATATATATATATTGTCAGGAGGGGAGCTCAGTATAAAGAAGGCAGAACCACAAGGGACAAGAAATGGGTCATCAGAATTACTCATAACATGCGAGTGGGTCGTGTAGCTCTGAGAAGTACGAATGGGATATATCATTATGAACACTAGTAGCGTTGCTTTTGTCAGTTGATTGCCATTTTAAAGTGCTTGCATTTAGTTTTGGTTTTAAAAAAAATTAAATAAATACCAAAGTAACTTAGAATTAATGGATTAATGTTCACACCATGGGGAACCTATTTTTCTTAGGTATAGTTGAGGTTTTAGTCATGGGACTTCTAATAAAAGTACTAAATATACACATTTTGATAAAAAAAAAATAAAACTAAATATAAATAATAAAATTAATAGCCTAAAAAATGAAATATTTCATAGCTTTATAAAGAAAAAATATTTTTTTAAACTAAAACTTCTAAAAGATTAGAACTCTTTTATTCAAAAACTATAAGATATCCGATACTAAGTACCTTTGGAATTCATAATTTGAAGCTCAATGGAAGATATAATGTATAGTTTTTAAACTAAAATATTTTATGACCTTAAAAAGGTAAAAATTCTATTTTTAAACAAAAATCTTTTAAAGTTTAGTTTCTAAAACTATTCAAACTTTCATTCAAAATCAATAAGATACCTTTGGAGCTCAATACTTTAAGCACAAACTTGATTTTTGTGACTTTTAAACTATAAACGTTAAGTTTATAGTTAATTTGATAATAATTTTTAAGATTTAAAACCTCCAAATTGACTTTAAAATTTAAAAAACACATTTTTTTATTCAAAACCCAAAGAAACTTAAAAAAAGACTGAAAACCTCAAAATCGGACTCCAAGTCCGGGGGGATATATAGTCTTCTTCTTATTTTCCGACCTCTGCCACTTCTTGTTCTTCCTCCTGGGGGCTATCGTATACCAGTTATAACCGGAACTTGGCGATTCCTAGTGGCCGCGGCAAAAAACGCAGTCGCGATAGGCAAACAGGCTGCAGCGTCTGCTGCTGCTGATGCATCTGCTGCTGCTGCGGCGGCGGCTTCAGCTTCAGCAACTACAAAGGTCTTGCCGAAAAGTTATCTTCCGGCGCGCAACTTCTTCCAACCGAACCCGAATCGGCCATCGGAGGATATCGCCGCCATTACTGCCGCCAGCGACTTTAATCGCTTGCCAATTCCGCTGCCTAGCGTTTTCTGCAGCGCAGTCACCATCTTTGATAGTAACGGTAGAGCAGGAGAAAGCCAGCAAAAGAGAGTGGGAGAGAGTGGGAGCTCTAAAGTGCTGAGAGAGCTCTTACAAGAGAGAGTGCTGCACTTTGGAATGTAAACCGCGATGCGACGCGACGCGACGCTAAGCTACGCGATTCTACAGCCAACGGTATTATCAGCTAACGCGATTTTTAACGCGCGGAGTTAGAGACTCTGAATGGGATGCGTAATTAATATATTTATATATTTATTTGTGTGTGAACGCACATATTTGCGGAATGGAATGTCTCGGATCTCGACCTAGACAGAGTCTATTTTTGGGTCAGTGTAAGCAAAGACAAACAAGTGATTCCAACAAAGGTTCTAGCCCGATAGCCAGATAGCGTTTTAAAACGCACTCGAAACAGCGGGAGATCATTTTTGTCATCATTTTTGGTCCACCCCAATTCACACGTGCCAGTTTTTCTATTTTTATTTTTCTTCATTTTTTTTTCAATTGTTTGCTTTATTGTTTGCGTTGTAAAAGTTAATGAGACAACCCACCCACCCGGCTACTTGATAAGCGAACATCCATCCGGGGAGAGAAAATCGCCTCAAAACCCACCTGATATCTCCAGGTACTTCTATACTATATAACCCACTAAAAGGGTTCACTGCACTTTACCGCTGTCAAGGTTAACCCGAATGAGGAACTAGGAAGATCATTACATTACTATACTATTTTTTTCAAAAGGAACCCTCAACCCTAACCTGAAAACCTCCATTTGTAACACTCGACGGAGGTTTTTCCAAATTGCGCATCAGATCAGATCAGATCCCAAGTCCCAGGCCATAACAATTTGCTGATGCAATCCGCTTCTGTCATTGCATATTTTAGCTGGACTATGTAGAGGCGATTAAGGAGGAGGAACCACCCATTGGAAGGAAGCCATAGACGGTCCCGCCGGACTAGCCAGCGTGTCTATGGTGATAAGAGCCAGCCAATAGATAGAAGTGGATTAGAAATGCAGAAATGGAGGGAATGAACTGGTTACTAGATGCTACCAGATGCTATTCTAGACAGTGATTATTACCCCAGAGGGTTCTGGAAGTTACTTGATAGCTTACTATCCAGATAGACACGATAGTTGCAGAGAGAGAGTCTCAAGTACCGGGTATGGTATAGTTTGTATAGAAGTTATAGAGCTTCTTAAGTGTCTCTTGAGATAAACTATAAAGATAAGACTCCTATTCTTATAGAAATAGTAGCCTCAGTGATGTACCATTTTAGGAACCTCTAGAAAACCCCCTCTATATATAGGACTTCCCCTAGAAACCCCTCCTTATGAGCTATAGCCTGAAAACTGTTTGTAAACATTACTGGTATTCATTCTGGTTTTTTTCTCAAGACCCTCCAAACATCTGTTTCTTAAGTAATACCTACATAACCTAGTTATAACCAAGTACCTAATCAATAGAGCCGTAAATCTCAGCAACAGTCATTGGTGCGTACACTTGACTCGAGTGGAGTACCTCACCGATTGATGAATCAGCCCGGAAAGTGGGAGGTACCTGGGCAGGCAGTACCTACTTCGGGCAGGTATTTCTGCGGTTATATTAGCAATCTTTGATTTGCGCAACTGTACCTGAGCCGGAAATTCCTGGATACCTGGAACAGTACCAGGGATATGCTACCTGGGACTTGGGTTGGATGATTAGTGGGTGGTGGCCTGCAGCAGCGGAGGTCAGGCAAATGAGGTCGCCCGGCGGCGGGTTGACACATTTTGCGGCAGCGGCAAATGTCGCTGCTATCTTTGTTTCGCGTCCAGCGCTGCCGGCGCCGACGTCGACGTCGACAACAGCGGCAGAGCTGCGTCGCTGCAGCTGCGTCTTATAAACTAATGCATATGAAGTTCAGAATTAGTTTTGCATTGGCCGCGTTTAGAGAAGCAAGTGTTTCAACTCGGAAATCATCAAATTCCCCGCAAGATAATTGAAAAATAGTTTCTCCGCAAGAGGGTCTCAGTGATAAAGAGAGACAGAGAGAGAGAGAGATTCTCTAGAGAAGAGCCGCCATTGCGTTATCAAGCAGCCGCCGCGTGTGCCGATGAGAAACTTGCGTTTTCGCCAATTCGTATTAGCTGGAAAAAATCGCTACAGGATCTACCATGAGCTGGTTCAGAAAATCGTCGCCTGCACTGTCCGCGAGCCGCCCGCACACCGAGGATCACCCCTCTCCGGATCTCTCCAAGTCCCTGAGCAGTCTGGACGAGCGACGAATTGAACGCCTGGAGCCGGAAGAGTTCTTTCACGATCCGGATCATGTCCGGCACTACAAGGAGGAGGCCCAGTTCCTGAGCATCATGTCCGAGTGGGAGATCATTGAGCATCCGCCGCAGACCAATTTCTTCTCGGCGGACTTTGAGGAGGAACTCCTCCAGCAGAGGACACAGCTCGCAATGGACTCGTTGGAGGACAGGGCCAGCAAGGAGCCACCGCCAGTGGGGGAAGGGAAGACAAAACCCAAGGAGCGACGCAAACGCAAGTTCCTGGAGCTACTATTCGTGGATAACATACAGACGGGGATCGCCCTGCCACCAGAGACGGGCACCCTGACGCCACCGCCCTCGCCCACCGCCGCCGTGGTCTGCAAGAAGTCCCGCAAATCTCCAGCACCTGCCGCTGTGCCCCCACCCACCTGCCCCCAGCAGGTTCTCAAAGACTGCCGCATCGATCGGAAACAACTGAAGACTGAAGCCCTGGCCGGATCGATAATGGGCGCCATCGGCAAGTGTCCGGCTGGCGAGGATTACTCCATTGCACTGGCCAATGGAACGACGGAGCTGGATCAGTGCCATCCTGGTGAGCAGAACACCTGTGATCACTACGACATCAAACAGTTCTTTCACCTGGACGAACAGGGCAACATCCTGCTGAACATGGCGCACATTGTGGAGTGTCGGGCGCGGGGCTTGTGCCTCCAGGCTCAGTCCCGGCGTCTCTATCGACGCTATCGACGTGGCTGTGAGTGCGCCGACGAGGATTACTGCAGGCGTCGCGGCTGTTGCTATGTCCTGCGACGACTCCTTCGCTTGTTGTGTGAATTATTAGCTGGTAAGGATTAGGAATTGCTTCTACAAGGCAGGGGTACCCAGCATAGTCTACTATATTCTACTTAAGATACCAGTTTCATCCAACTGATGACTAACCTTTAACCTTTTCTGTCTTCCAGGTCACCCCCGCAACAAGATGAACATCCAGAGCAGCGGCCCCGGCGACTCCCTGCGCGCCTACACCCTCCAACTGGCCCAGGACCAGAGCTCCACCTTTGCCCGCAACATCGAGAACTTCATCTGCTGCACCAAGGAGTCGCGGGAGGCGGCGCCCCAGGTGGTGATGCGAAACATGCGCCAGTTCATGAGCGGCATGAAGAACTACCTGGTGAAGCACGGCGAGGGCAAGTTCCATGCCGAACTGGAGTCGGCCAGGTCGAGACTGAAGGCCGACGAATTCCTCAACCTCGACGCCATGCTGGAGACGGTGATGCATCAGCTGGTGGTGCTGCCGCTGCGGGAGCATCTCTATGGCATCTTTGTGGATCACTACCAGCGCAGCGGAGCCATCCAGCTGCTGGCCCAGAAGGTGCGCTATGCCAGCGAACGGGAAACGGCCGTATTCGGCATCCGGCCGACAGTTACTCCGCCATCGCAGGCCGCCCTCCGGATCATTGCCAATCTGTTGTTGCGCCTCCAGGAGGCGGAGCTGCCGCTGGACAAGCTGGAGCTCTTCCTGTGCATCATCTCGACGGTGTTCGATGCCACAGGATGTCCGCGCGGCCAGCAACTGGGCGCCGATGACTTCCTGCCCGTGCTCGTCTATGTGGTGGCCAAGTGCGGATTCGTGGGTGCCGAGATCGAGGCGGAGTTCATGTGGGGTCTGCTCCAGCCGACGCTGCTCAACGGTGAGCCGGGCTACTACCTCACCGCTCTCTGCAGTGCCGTGCATGTCCTCAAGAACTTCAAAGAGCTGGAGGCGGAGAGCGGCACCGGATCCCTGGACGTAAGTAGTACCGTCCTTTAGAAGGGGTTTCCTTGCACGTCTTTTTTCAAAAATATTAAGAACATTTCTGCAAAAAAAAAATAAAAAAAAACCTATTTTCACTTAATTTTAACTTTTATTTTAAAAAGAATCTCAATTAATTGAAAAAATCCTTTGTTTATAGTGGCGTTCCAGCTGCCTGCCCGCCTGCTCCAGTGTCCTGCGCGTCATCATCCCGGACGAATGCAATGGCTCCCTGCAGACCCGAACACTGCCCGTACGACCGCACACCACCACCCGGGAGGTGTGCCGGATAATTGCCCACAAGGCACGCATCACCAATCCCCAGGACTATGCCCTCTTCAAGCTGGTCGATGGCGAGGAGACGCTGCTAACGGACGCCGAGTGTCCGCAGGATGCCCGACTGGCGGCCCGAGGGAAGCACTGCATGTTGGCCTACAAGAGGATCGATGCCAAGATAGCCTGGCCCACTGCCCATCCGGCGGGACACTAGAATGTCCTTGCCATCCCGCCCCCCTATCCTACCCTGCTCCCTGCCCTTCTTGCTCACTAACCAAGCATATTTGATTAATAATTTATTATTATTACATTAAAATATACTTAGTAGCCTGTAAGTAAAGCTAATTAACGCTAATTAGAAAACATCTAATGTGTACTAAAAACATCAGTATTGAGTTAAGCGACGTTTTTTTTTTTCTGTCTGGGCCGAAGTAGAAGCCCTACTTTTTTTGGCTAATAAATATACTATGCGAATAATACATATAAACACCCATATATATATACATATATATATACGATATGAATACATAAACATTTAGTCTGTAGAGTTGCAAGAATGCACAAAAAATATAACGACGACGACGGGGGGAAAGTCATCTGAACGAATCTATAATCTATTAAAATATATATATACATTATATGCACATTGTGTGCCACCCTGGAGACCAAAATCACAGTTCAACAATCACTACAACAATCAATCAATCATTCTATCAATCAATCAAGCGGTCTAACATGCCGACTGTAAACAGTCCGGACCGCAAAAGGACAAACCCCGAAAACAAAAGGCATTTAGGTGTGAATGGGTTTCGTGTTTCGTGTTCTTCTTAAGAAGCTAAACCATATTACATTAAAATATTAACCACTACATTTTAATATTTATATGTAACACTAAACACTGCTATCCACCCTCGGTATAAACATACAGACGTATAAACGTAAAACAAACATCTCTTTTTTTTGTATACTTTGTAAAATATGTGACACGTAATCCAAATAGCAAACAAATAAATAAATAACCAAAAAAATAACAGAGACGTTTTTATATTGGAATGACTGTTTTTTTTGCTAAATATTCCCTTAAAGATAGAAGAATTAACTAAATCTTTAACTTAAACCCAGCGAACGCCTAAAAGTATGCTACAAAATCCGAATATCCCAACACGAAAGCATACCTATCCGAATCCAATCCTATCCGGCACCAAAACACTAAAAGCCAACGGATTTACATTTTTCGAAATTTTTCCTAGGGGTACCCCAACAAAAATGTGGATTTTCGCAATTTCCCACTTTTGCTCCTTCCGAAGGCCATAGCTCAGCTAATTTGTATCCGATCGGGAAACAAAGTACCATTTTGTAATCAGCGAACCCATAAGCAACTTTTCTTATTCAAACCATTGCCTAAATATCATTTTGTAATCAGCGAACTCATAAGCAACTTTCCTCATTCAAAACATTGCCTAAATATCGTTTTGAAATTTTTCGAAATTTTTCCTAGGGGTACCCCTACAAAAATGTGGATTTTCGCAATTTCCCACTTTTGCTCCTTCCGATGGCCATAGCTCAGCTAATTTGTATCCGATCCGGAAACAAAGTACCATTTTGTAATCAGCGAACCCATAAGCAACTTTCCTCATTCAAACCATTGCCTAAATATAGTTTTGAAATTTTTCGAAATTTTTCCTACGGGTACCCCTACAAAAATGTGGATTTTCGCAATTTCCCACTTTTGCTCCTTCCGATGGCCATAGCTCAGCTAATTTGTATCCGATCGGGAAACAAAGTACCATTTTGTAATCAGCGAACCTATAAGCAACTTTCCTCATTCAAACCATTGCCTAAATATCGTTTTGAAATTTTTCGAAATTTTTCCTAGGGGTACCCCTACAAAAATGTGGATTTTCGCAATTTCCCACTTTTGCTCCTTCCGATGGCCATAGCTCAGCTAATTTGTATCCGATCGGGAAACAAAGTACCATTTTGTAATCAGCGAACCCATAAGCAACTTTTCTTATTCAAACCATTGCCTAAATATCATTTTGTAATCAGCGAACTCATAAGCAACTTTCCTCATTCAAAACATTGCCTAAATATCGTTTTGAAATTTTTCGAAATTTTTCCTAGGGGTACCCCTACAAAAATGTGGATTTTCGCAATTTCCCACTTTTGCTCCTTCCGATGGCCATAGCTCAGCTAATTTGTATCCGATCGGGAAACAAAGTACCATTTTGTAATCGAAATTTTTCCTAGGGGTACCCCTACAAAAATGTGGATTTTCGCAATTTCCCACTTTTGCTCCTTCCGATGGCCATAGCTCAGCTAATTTGTATCCGATCGGGAAACAAAGTACCATTTTGTAATCAGCGAACCCATAAGCAACTTTCCTCATTCAAACCATTGCCTAAATATCGTTTTGAAATTTTTCGAAATTTTTCCTAGGGGTACCCCTACAAAAATGTGGATTTTCGCAATTTCCCACTTTTGCTCCTTCCGATGGCCATAGCTCAGCTAATTTGTATCCGATCGGGAAACAAAGTACCATTTTGTAATCGAAATTTTTCCTAGGGGTACCCCTACAAAAATGTGGATTTTCGCAATTTCCCACTTTTGCTCCTTCCGATGGCCATAGCTCAGCTAATTTGTATCCGATCGGGAAACAAAGTACCATTTTGTAATCAGCGAACCCATAAGCAACTTTCCTCATTCAAAACATTGCCTAAATATCGTTTTGAAATTTTTCGAAATTTTTCCTAGGGGTACCCCTACAAAAATGTGGATTTTCGCAATTTTCCACTTTTGCTCCTTCCGATGGCCATAGCTCAGCTAATTTGTATCCGATCGGAAAACAAAGTACCATTTTGTAATCAGCGAACTCATAAGCAACTTTCCTCATTCAAAACATTGCCTAAATATCGTTTTGAAATTTTTCGAAATTTTTCCTAGGGGTACCCCTACAAAAATGTGGATTTTCGCAATTTCCCACTTTTGCTCCTTCCGATGGCCATAGCTCAGCTAATTTGTATCCGATCGGGAAACAAAGTACCATTTTGTAATCGAAATTTTTCCTAGGGGTACCCCTACAAAAATGTGGATTTTCGCAATTTCCCACTTTTGCTCCTTCCGATGGCCATAGCTCAGCTAATTTGTATCCGATCGGGAAACAAAGTACCATTTTGTAATCAGCGAACCCATAAGCAACTTTCCTCATTCAAACCATTGCCTAAATATCGTTTTGAAATTTTTCGAAATTTTTCCTAGGGGTACCCCTACAAAAATGTGGATTTTCGCAATTTCCCACTTTTGCTCCTTCCGATGGCCATAGCTCAGCTAATTTGTATCCGATCGGGAAATAAAGTACCATTTTGTAATCGAAATTTTTCCTAGGGGTACCCCTACAAAAATGTGGATTTTCGCAATTTCCCACTTTTGCTCCTTCCGATGGCCATAGCTCAGCTAATTTGTATCCGATCGGGAAACAAAGTACCATTTTGTAATCAGCGAACCCATAAGCAACTTTCCTCATTCAAAACATTGCCTAAATATCGTTTTGAAATTTTTCGAAATTTTTCCTAGGGGTACCCCTACAAAAATGTGGATTTTCGCAATTTTCCACTTTTGCTCCTTCCGATGGCCATAGCTCAGCTAATTTGTATCCGATCGGAAAACAAAGTACCATTTTGTAATCAGCGAACTCATAAGCAACTTTCCTCATTCAAAACATTGCCTAAATATCGTTTTGAAATTTTTCGAAATTTTTCCTAGGGGTACCCCTACAAAAATGTGGATTTTCGCAATTTCCCACTTTTGCTCCTTCCGATGGCCATAGCTCAGCTAATTTGTATCCGATCGGGAAACAAAGTACCATTTTGTAATCAGCGAACCCATAAGCAACTTTCCTCATTCAAAACATTGCCTAAATATCGTTTTGAAATTTTTCGAAATTTTTCCTAGGGGTACCCCTACAAAAATGTGGATTTTCGCAATTTCCCACTTTTGCTCCTTCCGATGGCCATAGCTCAGCTAATTTGTATCCGATCGGGAAACAAAGTACCATTTTGTAATCAGCGAACCCATAAGCAACTTTCCTCATTCAAACCATTGCCTAAATATCGTTTTGAAATTTTTCGAAATTTTTCCTAGGGGTACCCCTACAAAAATGTGGATTTTCGCAATTTCCCACTTTTGCTCCTTCCGATGGCCATAGCTCAGCTAATTTGTATCCGATCGGGAAACAAAGTACCATTTTGTAATCGAAATTTTTCCTAGGGGTACCCCTACAAAAATGTGGATTTTCGCAATTTCCCACTTTTGCTCCTTCCGATGGCCATAGCTCAGCTAATTTGTATCCGATCGGGAAACAAAGTACCATTTTGTAATCAGCGAACCCATAAGCAACTTTCCTCATTCAAAACATTGCCTAAATATCGTTTTGAAATTTTTCGAAATTTTTCCTAGGGGTACCCCTACAAAAATGTGGATTTTCGCAATTTTCCACTTTTGCTCCTTCCGATGGCCATAGCTCAGCTAATTTGTATCCGATCGGAAAACAAAGTACCATTTTGTAATCAGCGAACTCATAAGCAACTTTCCTCATTCAAAACATTGCCTAAATATCGTTTTGAAATTTTTCGAAATTTTTCCTAGGGGTACCCCTACAAAATGTGGATTTTCGCAATTTCCCACTTTTGCTCCTTCCGATGGCCATAGCTCAGCTAATTTGTATCCGATCGGGAAACAAAGTACCATTTTGTAATCAGCGAACCCATAAGCAACTTTCCTTATTCAAAACATTGCCTAAATATCGTTTTGAAATTTTTCGAAATTTTTCCTAGGGGTACCCCTACAAAAATGTGGATTTTCGCAATTTCCCACTTTTGCTCCTTCCGATGGCCATAGCTCAGCTAATTTGTATCCGATCGGGAAACAAAGTACCATTTTGTAATCAGCGAACCCATAAGCAACTTTTCTTATTCAAACCATTGCCTAAATATCGTTTTGAAATTTTTCGAAATTTTTCCTAGGGGTACCCCTACAAAAATGTGGATTTTCGCAATTTCCCACTTTTGCTCCTTCCGTTTTAGGAATTTTAAAGGAATTATGTCAACCCCGAAAATAAACCCCCAAAAAACCTGTAATGGAACCAAAAGAGCAAAAGAAAGAGAGAGACAAAAATTATTATGAAATAATCCCCATAGTTCATTCTTGATTCCCGACATTAGACTCGATCTGGGATCTATGTTATTGCTTTCGGGGTTCAATGGGTCGGGGGGCTATCGCCGGCGGGCTCAAAGCCCAGAGATCCGAGTCACCCAAAGTACAAAGCGAGCGCCATCTGGGGAATCGGAATGAGGGACTCAATTGGCCCCACTGGCTAGTCAATGCGGATCGGAAAATACGGCGCGACAGATAACGGTAATGGACGGTGTTAGATTTGCACGCCGATTACCCTGGGCCTTTGGCTCAAAATTGCGGATTTATGTGTATTTTGTCGCCAAGAATCGTGTCTCTCGTGTTTCTCTCACTACCTCTCCGCTTCTCGAATATAATTCTATATATAATCATCGAATCAGATGTCGCCAGTGGGGAACTATCGGCGCTTCTGTTCATTTTGTTTTGATAGAAATTCAAATTCGGCGCGATAAGGACCACACACACTCTCTGGGGGGACAAGGGAGGGGCGGCTAAGCTTTCGCGATTTTTTGAATTCGCAACGTGTGCAAAAAAACGCACCCGAACCGCCACCAAGTCTGCACAGAGAAAAAAAAAAAACAGAAGAAAAAAACTAACCAGAAAGCAACAATGTTTATTCATTTTTTATGTTAAGTCATATTTAGTCATCATATTTTTTAAAATGGCATGCATTTTATTATTTATTTTGAATAATAAGAACGCAATAAATTCAACTAGAGGTATTTAGAAAAATAATATTTTTGAAAAATAATATAAATTTAGAAAGTGATTTTTGAAAAACTTTTTTGAACTTTTCTAAAATAGACATAAAGCAACACTATTATCGAATTATGGATATAATGAATATGTATGGGTTTGGAAATAATTTATATTCATTTGTAGTATTATTTGTTGAGCTATATATCATTATACCCAATTTCCAATACCATAAATCTTTGATTTTGATAAAATCTGATACGTATTACTTTGTTTGACCCATAAGGCAGTTCATGTATTTGCCTTTTGTCTGGGAAATTTTTCCTTTGTTTTATGTGCTATCGTACAAAAGTTGTAAATTGATTCTGATTGGAGTTTGAGCAAGCTATAAATTTTGGTTTAATTATAAATAGATAGCTGGCCAACGATCGACATCGATCGAGCGCAGAGGCTCTCAATTATATTTTTTGTTTGCGATATTTCGAGTGTGTCCTTATCAGTTGAGGCAGTAGAGCCAGCAGAGGCAACAACAAAACCCCACCAATGACGCGATAATAAACAATTATTTTATTTGCACGCCAAATGCTATACACCCCGCTATACCCGCTTGGAATTTAGGAGGGGACGAGCAGAACTATAGAGTCCATGAGGCAGATCCAAGGGGGACCACAGAGGGACGATGTTTTGATTAGACACTCCTAAGTACACAGAACGTCAGGCGGGCGGGCAGTAAAAACAAAAGATTGTCGAGAATAAATATGTATTGATTATTGCACGGATGAAGTGGGCTGTTCGATAACTTTCGCCTCTAACCATCAAGCCTATAACCAGCCCCGGATCTTCAGCGGGGACGGCGGTGGTCGGTCGGTTGACAGCCGGTCGGGTTGTGTGTCATAAAATATTTATTTAGTCCAAGTCCCCAGGTTCCCAAGTCCCCATCAATGCCCGGCGCCCGTGTTGTGATCAATCGGTATTGCGATCGGTATTCGATCGGTGCAAACATTGAGGCAGTTGAAAAGTTTGTCGACTTTTGGGTTTTTTGCACGGTTTCATAACAAATGATTAATTACAGTATTTATTAATTTATTACCTTTCAGATGAATTATACATATCAGCTACATTTTTCTTAATAAACTTCATTTTCTAAAGAACTAACTTGTATCTAAAGGTTAGGAACTTTTTAGATACTTCAAATACATTTTGGAATATAAAATTCAAAGAATCTTCATAGCTTAAAAGAAACCCAAAAAAATCTTTCTTTTTTCCCAAATATCTCTATAAAAACTTCTAGATTCATCAAAAAATCTTTAAAACCCTTCAAATAAATCTAAAATTTATTTATATGCTTTTATTTAGGAACTACCAGTATCCCCCATCCAAAAAGAACATATTTTCTTCAAAAGTCATAGCTCCGATTTGTATTCCCCGGAATTTTGACGTCTCACAATCACTTGATAGGAGAACTCCGAGCCAAGCAAAGGACCCCTCAACGTCTATATTTATATTGTTATATTATAATTGTAGAATGTTGTGGCCCCAAAAGTGGACATCGTAAACAATTCCAATAAAATAATTAATGTCAAGTAAATGATAATGAGAAAAGTATATATGGTAGCCAGAAGCGAAAATCGAATCGAGCATTGGTTTTAACTCAAGATCCGATAAGGGTAAGTCCATTATGGGGGGCCAACTGTTCAGCCCACCCACGCAAAAAATTCTAGGGTATATTTTTGTAGACTTTCCAAAAAAAAAAGGGTATTTTATTTTAAATAAAGATTTTTAAGAAAATTTGTGATAAAACGGAGTATTTCTCAAGATATAGGTATATTTCTATTTAAAATAAAAGTATTTTATAGAGTAATCGACAATATTTTAATTTTTCCGTTTAAAATTATTATGTAAAAGATAAAAATCAATAACTTTTTAAAGCTTTGATTAATTTAAACAATTTTTAAAGATAGTAAGAATCGTCTTCTCTTCTTTGAGATCTTTTTTCCTTTAAATATTATTTATTTGATTAAAATACACTTCCAAAAAAACCAATTGACTTTCAAATTTACCTGCAACTCCTTTATTATAAATTATTCAAATCCTAATATAATTAAATTATTTATAAATATTTAAAATACTTATTATAAACTTAGCTTTAATATTTTATATTAATTAAAAAATTAAAACATCGTTCGTTTTATTTCTAATTTGTTTGTATTTCTGTTTGTTTAGTCAAATATTTCTCTCAATGAATTTTCGCTAGTATATATATCAGTACTATATTTCTTCAGAATCGGAATCGGAATCAGAATCCAGACCGCGGCTCGTGCTCCTGCTGATCGCATTACGCATACGCCTCGTGCGCAGCCAGCAGACGGTTGGTCGGAGGAGAGCGGGTAAGAGAGTTACAATCGCTGGAAGAGAGCATCACTAGCCAGGCGTGTTGAGAGAGCGGCAGCTAGAGAGATCGACGGAGCTGATAAGGGGAGCTTGTGGGGAGCTCTGGGAGATCCAAGCGCCGTCGCCGCCAAACGTTGTCGCATTCGGGCTGGGCGAGCTGAGCGAAACGGAGCTAAGCTGAGCTGAAAAAATAAATAAAAAAAAAAAGTTAAAAATCGCGTCGAGTTCCACACACACGCACACACATACACAAAACTTTTCCATCTGTTTTTGTTTTCGTTTGCGTTATTTTTTTTGTTGTTGTTAAAATATTGTTATATTATTCTGTGTGCGAGCGAGCAAGCAAGCAATCGATCGATCGAACGAGCAAGCGAGCCAGCGAACGAAGAAGAGCAAGCGAAAAAAACGAAGTGATCCATCCAGGAGGAGCAATATACAGTTAGTTCATCATCACAATACCATCATGGAGGTGTACACGTCGGACAGCTCGGACACGGACTCCCGTGAGCAGAAGACCCTGGACTTTGGGCGGATGAGTCTCGACCTGGTCACCCTGGAGGATCACCTGAGCAGCCCCCAAAAGGGCCTCCTCAAGGCCAGCGGTGACATCGAGACGATGCTCCTCAACCACAACCGGCTGGTGGGACTGCCCCGTCTCCTGCAGCAGTTTGCCAACTTAAAGGTCCTGGATCTGAGCTCAAACGCCATCACCCAGCTACCGGATGCCGTCTGCCAGCTGCCTCTGGTCACACTGATTGCCAAGAACAATCTACTGACCAATGGTTCGCTGCCCAAGTCGCTGCTCTCCAAGCAGGCCGGTGGCACTGTCGGCGGCTCCACCCTCAAGGAGCTGAATCTGAGCGGCAACCAGCTGACCCACTTCCCGGAACAGGTCACCGAGCTGCGCCAGCTGAAGTATCTGTATCTGGGCGGTAACAAGATCTCGACCGTTTCGAAGGATATCTGGAAGATGCAGAGGTGAGTGCATTGATCGGTTTGAAGGGGGGTACTGCTATTGGCTTACCTTCTTCATGGCCCTCTTTGGTTGTTTGCTCAAGTGGCGGACGGCTTTTTGCTTTGGGTTTTGTTACACTGGGAGAAAATGTGGTAGATCTTGATGAAGGTTAAGATTTTAAATGAAAGTTATTATTTTTTTGTAGTTAAGAAATATTTTACAATTTTTTTAAGGAATGGAGGAGTTTTTAAAATTAATTTTGAAAAGAGGCTTATTTTTATTTCTAGATATTTATTGTTTTATTAACTTTTCCTAAAAGTTGTAGAAGCTTTTCATAAAAATAATATTTTAAAAATGTTTTCCATAAAGTTTTTGGCTTCAAATATTTAAAACTATTTTCAAAAATAATGTTTTTAAAAGTCTCTCCTTATTTTTAAAAGACTTTCTGTTAAAAACTAACCCTTGGGATTATAATTACATCGATTTGCTTAAAAAACCGATCAATTCATAGTACTTAATAGATAATTACTAATGCCTTTTACTTAAAAAAAAAATACTAATCTCCTAAGTGGTCTCTTAAGTTAGGAAACTTTTAAAAGAAAACTCCCCAAAGCCCTCAAGAAAGACCATATTCCTAAGACTTCGAATACCCTCTTCCGATACACATTAAAATACCGATATGGTTTGGGGTTTTTTTGGGTTTCGCGATTCCCACAGGGGGACACAGCTTTTTCCCGGAGTGTATCCGCTCTCCGCTGGCGACTCCGCTTGACATTGCCGTCGAAAGCAGAGCCGTAGACCAGAGTCGAGCACTCGTCCGGCGAGCACACACTGTTGCCAAGTACGAGTATAAAAGTCCAAGCACAGACGCAAACGTAATATACGGCCGGAGAGCTGATAACACACGGGCCTGCCACTTGTCCGGTGGATTGGTTGCTCGATCGGTGGTTCGGTGGATCGGTGGTGCGGGAGATGGGTGGTGCGACTACGACGGCTGCTGGTGCTGGTGCTGGGTACTGGGTACTGCTGCTGCTGCCTAGCGTCGTAAAAGCCAAATCTATCAAAAACACGTACTCGAATCGGTACCAACCGATTTCGTCGGCCCATAAAGATACGGGCCCTGTATTAATATAATAATAAACAAAGAGCGAAAAAAAAAAAAAATTGGCACAAACAGCCAACAAAAACAACAATAATGAACAAAAAAAAGAAATATATTCCGAAATATCAGTTGAAAACAAATTAAAAAATTCAAATTGGCATTAGTTATCAGATGGCCGGGCTTTGCAATGTCTGTAGGGGTCGGTCTACGGGGTAAACTTCATAGCACCAGCACTCCAGCACTCGATGGAACCTGAAGAGGACCCTAAAGGCATAAAACCGTGACATAAGTCCGAATACCTAGTTCGGGCCTCTTAGCTTATGATTCACTTGAGTCTCCGGAACGAGAGTCTCTTAGGCTTTATGGATTTTAAAGAGGTTATAGCTAAAGTTTCTATATATTTCCCAGCCAGAATCAAGCCAACAACCCACCACTATCGTACGATTTAATTTTCATAAATTCCTCTCCCTTTTTATTCGCGCGAGAGTTAAACTTTGTATTTAAATAAGTTTGTATTTTTGTTTGTGGTTTCACAAATCTAACAAAAGGTGAAGTTCAAAAGATTTAAGATTTGCTTTGAAAAAAAATATAATAAAAAAAGAAAAGAAATTCAAAGTTTGTTTATTTAATTAAAGATCATATCTCTTTCTCTTTTAGTTTTAAACATTTTTTCTTTCCTTCTTTTACTGAGAAATGTTTATCTTTTTGTCCTTTTAGCCTGCATGTCCTGTCGCTGGGCGGCAACCTCATCAGCGAGGTGCCCGAGTCAGTGGGATCCTTGAACCAGTTGCAGGCTCTGGTCCTGTGCGACAACCTCATCGAGATTCTGCCCACGAGCATTGCACGTCTGAAGAACCTCAAGTCGCTTCTCCTGCACAAGAATCGACTGCGTCATCTGCCCAAGGACATTGTGGCCTTGAAGAATTTAACGGAGGTAAGGATAACGATATATTTGGGGTTTTAATATTTTGGGTTTTAAAAAGAAGACCTAGATTAAAACTTTTAAAAAATATTTTAACCTAATTTTAAACTTTAATTTTTATTTATTTTTTAATTTTTTTAAATAATCATTAAGTTTTTTCATAATATTTTCTATAATTTTTCATTACGTATACGTAATATTTTTTCCTATTTTTATATTACGTATACGTAATATTCAATTATTTTTCAAACAAAAAATAAATAAATATTCTGGTAAAATCAAAAATTTAAATTAAATTTAATATTATATAATTAAATATATATACCAACCTTTGATTTGTTAATTTCAATCTCCAGTTGAGTCTTCGTGACAATCCATTGGTGGTTCGCTTCGTCCAGGACATGGCCTTGAAACCGCCCACTCTGCTGGAGCTGGCCGGACGCATGGTGAAGGCCAGTGGACAACGGCCCGGACCCTATGACATCCCCAGGACACTGGCCGAGTACCTGAACAGCGCCAACTGTTGCGTCAATCCCAACTGCAAGGGCGTCTTCTTCGACAATCGGGTGGAGCACATCAAGTTTGTGGACTTTTGCGGCAAGTATCGAGTGCCGCTGCTGCAGTACCTCTGCTCCTCGAAGTGCATCGAACCGGAGGAGCCGGCCCGCGGCACAGCACCGCTGCCGGCGAATGTGAGCAATGCCAGCAGCGGATTCATGATGCGCAAGGTGCTGCTGGGCTAGGAGCGTTCCCGTCCGGCCCGGGCCCGCCCATTCCGCCGGCTCCAGGGAGCGTGATACGGAGCATCGGCCGTTGTGATTCGATGCGGTTCGGTTCGGTTCGGTTGCGGGGGGAAACGACGGAAACGGAAACGAACTCTAACATCGATATTGGAACGGAAACGGCATTGTTATATTTTGGAATCGGAACGGAACGGAACGGAAACGGAGACGACGGCGGTAACGGTGGCAAAAAAAATAATACACAAAAAACGACGATTTCGGAGACGAAGATAGATCCATATTCGCTCCGACGACTGGAGGAACCCATTGGCGCTGGAATCCCATTGGCTTCACTTCATCATTTGACGCACGTTATCAAAACCATGAAAACATGAACTAGTTCTCTAAGTGATTACTACATCCATACACTGACCCGACGGCCTTGCGTGTCCGTTTCTCTGTTTCTGTTTGTTTGCTTGTTTGCTTGCTTGTTGTTATCCACAAATACACACACAGTCTATACCAAGGTCCTTTTCTTTGCGGAGGGAGGTTATGGTTTTGTACTCTTGGGATATTAGAAAAATGTTAGAGATCTTGAAAGTTTAATTCCCATAAATGATACTATTTTTCTCTAAAAGTTCCTCAAAATATATACAAATATAATATTCGATCACTTTTTGAAAAATACTTGGCTATTTTTAGCGAGATTTTCATAGTAGATAATTTCATGTCCTTGAAGATCTTTGAATTTGGAGGCATATCTTTCTGAAAACGGAATAAAATATTTAAGAATAAATGTATAAAATATGTAAGATTGATGTTGTTAAGATACTGTAGTTTCAGGATATTACAATAGAAAAGCTAGTAGAGTTAGTAAACAGATCTTGAAAGCTTAGGTACTATAATACTATAAGCTTAGGAAATTATACTATTTCCGGTTCCTTAAAAAAATATTTAATTATAATATTAAATTACTATTTAAAAAGAAACTGGGCATATTTATCAAAAGTCCTTGTCCTTTTTATCAAAAGTCGAAAGTCCTTGAAGAGCTTTGAATTTGGAGGCATATCTTTCTGAAAACGGAATAAACTGGATAATATCCCCTTCCTTGAAGATCAATAACAGTATACCACCCTCCTGGGAAATTGGGAAATTCTAGGCCTTGTTTGAAAAGGATATATAATTTTCTTAAGAAGGATAATATTTTTATAGCTTATATTTAGGACATACTATTATATTATATATTCTATACTACTGGGATATACAAGATATATAAGAAAAACCAGGTTTAGGAGCGTAACCCTTTCAGAATTTTCTGAATACCATGTCTTTTTTTAAATCCTTTCAGAGTAAGTATAAATTAAAGCCTGCTTTTAGGAGCCTTATTTTAATAACTACTGCTATAATCCCAAAGTCCTTCCACTTAAACACCCTCCACTTTTGTTTATATAGATAGTTTTTATTGTATGTTCATCGCTCGCATCTGCCTGGCGACAGACTACTACTAGATTATCCAAAAAAAAAAAAGTTACTTAAGTGGTGGGGAAGGAGTAGGGGGAGACAGGCACAGGGACATGAACAGGAAACAGGAAACAGGGAACGGAAACAGGCACAGGAACACTTGGAGCGCCGGATGCAATGATCGGATGTGGATCGCGGGTTCTCTTCTATAACATAATCATATTAATTAAAATACATAAATACACAAAACTAGAGGGTGGCCAACGAAACGGGTCACAGATTGGTGGAACACAAAACACAGTCAACAGAGTAGTCTTAACTTAGGCTTGACTGGTTTTTAAACTTACGTCTACAAATGGGGATTAGGGATGAGGGTAGTACATTGGACTCCGCCTGCCCGAAACTGGATTTGGTTTCACGGCTTCGATGTGGGCTTCAAACTCGGGGCGGAGGGGCTCGTGGGAATTGGATTACATCTATGATACCCGCGGGATGGGCGCTTGACTTACAATGCTAAGTAATATGGAGTAGTAGTTGAATGTAGTTGAAGTCGTCGCTATCGACGTGCAATGTCTACTGGTCCATTACCTCCTGACTGGTGTCGTCCACCTCCATGGCGGCCGGCTCGTCCTTGGCAACGTCGTCTGTGGCCATTTCGGCCGAGACCGGTGGCGGGCCGCTTTCGGCCATGACCACCTCTTCGTCGCGGGCCTCCTCCTCGGCGGGTGTGTCCTCCATGGGCTGATCGTTCAATGCCAAAGCTGGCGGAGTGACGGCCGCTGCTACAGCAGCTGGCTCGGCATCCTCAACACCCTCAGCTTCAACGGTGGTGGTGGTGGCGGCGGCGACAGCTGCTTCTGCAACCGGCGGCGTTGAAACGGATTCGGTGGCAGCAGCTGGCACCGGAGATTTTGGTGTGGCAGCAGCGGCCTCAGCAACTGCCACATCTTCGGGGCCAGCTGCTGTTTCCTTTTCTTCCAAGGAGCCCTTGGCATCTTCGGCAGTCTTATCGTGGTCCACGTTTTTATCGGCTTCGGCTGCCGGCTCGGCAGTCTTCTCCTCTGGCTCGTCCTTCTCGGAACTCTCCTTTTGCGGCTCCTTGGCCGACGACTCAGTCTCAGTCTTTTCGGATTGGCTCTCCTTGGATTCGGCTTCTGGCTTGGCCTCGGCCTGGGTCTCCTTTTCCTTCTCTAGTGGCTCAGCTTGCTTCTCGGCTGGTTCGGATGTCTCCTTTTCGTCTGCAGTCTTCTCCTCGGGAGCAGGAGACGCTGACTTCTCCTGCTTGTCCTTCTCGGGCTCAGCTTTGGAGGACTCTTCTGCTGGAGGAGCATCATCTTTAACTGTCTTTTCGGACACTTTCTCTTCCTGTTTTTCCAACTTCTCTGTCTTTTCGGTCTCTTGCTTCTCCACAATTTTCTTTAGCGGCTCAGCCACTTCATCCTCCTTTTCCTGCTCCTTCTCCTCGAGCTTCGGCTCCTTTTCCATCTCCTCGTCGGCGATTGTTTCTTTTTCGGCATCTGGCGAGGCACTGGACTCGTCATCCCCGGCTGCTGCAGCTGGGATGCTCTCCTCCTGCTTGGCTCCGTTATGAGCCTGCTTGGTAGTCTTTAAGTCCTCGGCCTCCTCGAGCTCCTCGTCGGGCTCTTCGATCTCTGCCGCCTCCTGGCGGGCATCAGTCTCGTCGTTGTCACTCTTCTTGGTGGAAGCATCGGTTGCCTCCTCATCGCCCTCGAACTCCAGCTTGGCTTTCTTTGCCTTGGGCTGGGGACCGCCCTCCGATCGGGGGCAGCTTGCTTTCAAGGCCCCCGATCCAGAGCTGGGAGCGGAGCCGTCCTCGGCGTTGCCGTTGTTGAACTGGGCCTCGTTCTCCATCTCGATGTCGATGTTGACCTCCAGGGAGAGGTCGCCGTTGACCACAGAGTCCAGGGAGTCACCGTTCTCGCTCTCCGTGCGCTTCCGACCCGGATCGATGGTGCTGACGACTGTTTGGGGGACAAAAGCGCAACATTAGTTCGTGTTTCCATCACAAGAAACCCACTCATCATAACCTACCCAGTATATTCTTCTCCAGGGCGCGCATAAATTTGTCAATCCGCGAGTACTGCTTCCGGGGATCGATCAGCAGCTCGCACAACCGTTGCACGGTAAACGGGGCAGCGTTGAACAGATCGAGCCGCTCCAGAAGTGTCGACTTCATGGTCTCATAGTTAAAGGGATCCACATTGGGATAGTTGGGAATCTCTGCAAGAGGTTTGTGGGCTTAAAGGGGATATTTGTTGCGAAAGTGGTTGCCAAAGTACCTTCCAACCGGGGTGAATCCTCGTTAAAGTGCTTGATGACGTTGAGTAGCTTCTCGCGGAATAGATACTTTAGGCTGGACCACTTGAAGATGGTGTCGCCGGTCTTGGCGACATATTGCAGATAGTCCTCCAGCTCTTTGGGTATCTCCTTTTGCTTGAGGCGGGTGAAACGCTCCAGGATCTGCAGGATCTCGTCGCTGTTCTCCATGGTGACCATTTGAGAGCGGTGTGGATCGTTCAGCGGTTGAAACTGCAATCAAACACGTTAACAATAATCACAGTAATGATGAAAAACCGGCCGGCCGGCTGGCAATTGTTTCTCTTTCTGTTTCTGCTTCAACTCTGTTTCCTGCTCTGAAAATTTTCATCCTCGCAAGGTAGAGACACAAAAACGACGACGTCTGCCGATGCCGACTACCGATGGTTGCAACAATTCGGAGCAGAGCCGCCCTCGTCTCTCAAGTGCAGGTATGTGGTATGTATGCGCAAAATCGCCGGACAACCGGACCAACAGACAGACCGACGGACGAACGGATGGATGGATAAAGAGGCATCTGCATCTGGCAGATCTTCTTTCTCACCCCTTTGCCACCTACCGACTCTGGTCGGTTCTCAGTTGGTGGAGGATTCTCAATCATTTCGCAATTCGCGGGGAAACTAGTTTATTCTGCAAAAACGGACCCACACACACACCACCGCAACCGAAGAGCAACTCCATTTCAAGCCAGCTTTCCTGCCTATGTGGCTGTGTGTGTGAGCCGCTGTTGCAGCCGAAACGAATCGGAATCCAAATCCGAATCTTGTTGCCAAGCTACCGCCACTCACCCCTACCTTTTTGTTGCCTTTTTTCCGCTGCCATTTCTGTCCAGACCCCCGCCAGACGCCTCTGGCAATTTTCATGGCGGCCGGCTGATGGGCCGGCGAAACTCGCGCAGCCCCGACGCACTGTTCCTGGATTGTCCCTCCATTTATTTAATGCACCACCATGACATCTTACCTGCCCTGGATGTGCGGCAACTTTGTATTACAACAAAAACGTCTCAAAGTTAAACAACGGATTAGATACACGTTCTACGAATCGCTTGTATCACTTTCTAGAGTTGTGCGAATTTTTAATATTGCTACAATTTTTCAACACTGCTTTTTTCGGGTAGATACAGTAGACTAGTTCGAGATGGGAGATAGAGAAAAATACTAAAACTTCGATAAAATACCAGCTTACACAGCGCCATCTGTGGAAGAAATATTATTCAAATGTACGATCACTATGGACATGCTTTTGAAGGGTAGGATCAACATATGATTAATTTAAATTTTGCAAAATAGCAAATTTTTTGCATTGAGAAAAATGAAACTATTTCATAAGCTTTTCATAAACATTAAACAATGGTTTTCAAATTGTCAGTCAGTTTTAGATTTCCTTCGGAAGCCCCATTTCAAAAATTGTCAATTTTGCTAAATTAAAACGAAAAAAAATTTAAAATACACTCCACTGACGAGACTTTCCCCCACCAAATCAAAATCCAGCCAAGCCAGGTGCCGAACTGATAAAGGGCTCGAGGCATGTGTCGATCAATTGTATAGGACGATATAAGGAAGTGCTCCTCAATCGACAGACCCTATTTAGCGGACCTCCTGTTTTAACCAATTAATATTCCTGTGGATTACCTAGTAATCGGGACAAACAGAAATTTGGCAAGTATTGTATCGAATTTTTGAATTTTGAATATAAGGATATGCTTAATCCCTTACCGTAACTATAATATACTTAAGTTACTCAAAGCTCTTGATAGGTCTGCCGATCAAGTGAACCCAAAAGCGACTTTCCTCATTCAAAATATTGCTTAAATATCGTTTTTAAATTTTTCGAAATTTTTCCTAGGGGTACCCCTGCAAAAATGTGGATTTTCGCAATTTCCCCACTTTTGCTCCTTCCGATGGCCGTAGCTCTCTCAATTTCTATCCGATCGCGAAATAAGGTACCATTTCGTAATCAGCGAACCCAAAAGCGACTTTCCTCATTCAAAATATTGCTTAAATATCGTTTTTAAATTTTTCGAAATTTTTCCTAGGGGTACCCCTGCAAAAATGTACATTTTCGCAATTTCCCCACTTTTGCTCCTTCCGATGGCCGTAGCTCTCTCAATTTGTATCCGATCGCGAAATAAGGTACCATTTCGTAATCAGCGAACCCAAAAGCGACTTTCCTCATTCAAAATATTGCTTAAATATCGTTTTTAAATTTTTCGAAATTTTTCCTAGGGGTACCCCTGCAAAAATGTGGATTTTCGCAATTTTCCCACTTTTGCTCCTTCCGATGGCCGTAGCTCTCTCAATTTGTATCCGATCGCGAAATAAGGTACCATTTCGTAATAAGCGAATCCAAAAGCGACTTTCCTCATTCAAAATATTGCTTAAATATCGTTTTTAAATTTTTCGAAATTTTTCCTAGGGGTACCCCTGCAAAAATGTACATTTTCGCAATTTCCCCACTTTTGCTCCTTCCGATGGCCGTAGCTCTTTCAATTTCTATCCGATCGCGAAATAAGGTACCATTTCGTAATCAGCGAACCCAAAAGCGACTTTCCTCATTCAAAATATTGCTTAAATATCGTTTTTAAATTTTTCGAAATTTTTCCTAGGGGTACCCCTGCAAAAATGTGGATTTTCGCAATTTCCCCACTTTTGCTCCTTCCGATGGCCGTAGCTCTCTCAATTTGTATCCGATCGCTAAATAAGGTACCATTTCGTAATCAGCGAACCCAAAAGCGACTTTCCTCATTCAAAATATTGCTTAAATATCGTTTTTAAATTTTTCGAAATTTTTCCTAGGGGTACCCCTGCAAAAATGTGGATTTTCGCAATTTCCCCACTTTTGCTCCTTCCGATGGCCGTAGCTCTCTCAATTTGTATCCGATCGCGAAATAAGGTACCATTTCGTAATCAGCGAACCCAAAAGCGACTTTCCTCATTCAAAATATTGCTTAAATATCGTTTTTAAATTTTTCGAAATTTTTCCTAGGGGTACCCCTGCAAAAATGTGGATTTTCGCAATTTCCCCACTTTTGCTCCTTCCGATGGCCGTAGCTCTCTCAATTTGTATCCGATCGCTAAATAAGGTACCATTTCGTAATCAGCGAACCCAAAAGCGACTTTCCTCATTCAAAATATTGCTTAAATATGGTTTTTAAATTTTTCGAAATTTTTCCTAGGGGTACCCCTGCAAAAATGTGGATTTTCGCAATTTCCCCACTTTTGCTCCTTCCGATGGCCGTAGCTCTCTCAATTTGTATCCGATCGCGAAATAAGGTACCATTTCGTAATCAGCGAACCCAAAAGCGACTTTCCTCATTCAAAATATTGCTTAAATATCGTTTTTAAATTTTTCGAAATTTTTCCTAGGGGTACCCCTGCAAAAATGTGGATTTTCGCAATTTCCCCACTTTTGCTCCTTCCGATGGCCGTAGCTCTTTCAATTTCTATCCGATCGCGAAATAAGGTACCATTTGGTAATCAGCGAACCCAAAAGCGACTTTCCTCATTCAAAATATTGCTTAAATATCGTTTTTAAATTTTTCGAAATTTTTCCTAGGGGTACCCCTGCAAAAATGTGGATTTTCGCAATTTCCCCACTTTTGCTCCTTCCGATGGCCGTAGCTCTCTCAATTTGTATCCGATCGCGAAATAAGGTACCATTTCGTAATCAGCGAACCCAAAAGCGACTTTCCTCATTCAAAATATTGCTTAAATATCGTTTTTAAATTTTTCGAAATTTTTCCTAGGGGTACCCCTGCAAAAATGTGGATTTTCGCAATTTCCCCACTTTTGCTCCTTCCGATGGCCGAAGCTCTCTCAATTTCTATCCGATCGCGAAATAAGGTACCATTTCGTAATCAGCGAACCCAAAAGCGACTTTCCTCATTCAAAATATTGCTTAAATATCGTTTTTAAATTTTTCGAAATTTTTCCTAGGGGTACCCCTGCAAAAATGTACATTTTCGCAATTTCCCCACTTTTGCTCCTTCCGATGGCCGTAGCTCTCTCAATTTCTATCCGATCGCGAAATAAGGTACCATTTCGTAATCAGCGAACCCAAAAGCGACTTTCCTCATTCAAAATATTGCTTAAATATCGTTTTTAAATTTTTCGAAATTTTTCCTAGGGGTACCCCTGCAAAAATGTGGATTTTCGCAATTTCCCCACTTTTGCTCCTTCCGATGGCCATAGCTCTTTCAATTTCTATCCGATCGCGAAATAAGGTACCATTTCGTAATCAGCGAACCCAAAAGCGACTTTCCTCATTCAAAATATTGCTTAAATATCGTTTTTAAATTTTTCGAAATTTTTCCTAGGGGTACCCCTGCAAAAATGTGGATTTTCGCAATTTCCCCACTTTTGCTCCTTCCGATGGCCGTAGCTCTTTCAATTTCTATCCGATCGCGAAATAAGGTACCATTTCGTAATCAGCGAACCCAAAAGCGACTTTCCTCATTCAAAATATTGCTTAAATATCGTTTTTAAATTTTTCGAAATTTTTCCTAGGGGTACCCCTGCAAAAATGTGGATTTTCGCAATTTCCCCACTTTTGCTCCTTCCGATGGCCGTAGCTCTCTCAATTTGTATCCGATCGCTAAATAAGGTACCATTTCGTAATCAGCGAACCCAAAAGCGACTTTCCTCATTCAAAATATTGCTTAAATATCGTTTTTAAATTTTTCGAAATTTTTCCTAGGGGTACCCCTGCAAAAATGTGGATTTTCGCAATTTTCCCACTTTTGCTCCTTCCGATGGCCGTAGCTCTCTCAATTTGTATCCGATCGCGAAATAAGGTACCATTTCGTAATCAGCGAACCCAAAAGCGACTTTCCTCATTCAAAATATTGCTTAAATATCGTTTTTAAATTTTTCGAAATTTTTCCTAGGGGTACCCCTGCAAAAATGTGGATTTTCGCAATTTCCCCACTTTTGCTCCTTCCGATGGCCGTAGCTCTCTCAATTTGTATCCGATCGCGAAATAAGGTACCATTTCGTAATCAGCGAACCCAAAAGCGACTTTCCTCATTCAAAATATTGCTTAAATATCGTTTTTAAATTTTTCGAAATTTTTCCTAGGGGTACCCCTGCAAAAATGTGGATTTTCGCAATTTCCCCACTTTTGCTCCTTCCGATGGCCGTAGCTCTCTCAATTTGTATCCGATCGCGAAATAAGGTACCATTTCGTAATCAGCGAACCCAAAAGCGACTTTCCTCATTCAAAATATTGCTTAAATATCGTTTTTAAATTTTTCGAAATTTTTCCTAGGGGTACCCCTGCAAAAATGTGGATTTTCGCAATTTCCCCACTTTTGCTCCTTCCGATGGCCGTAGCTCTCTCAATTTGTATCCGATCGCGAAATAAGGTACCATTTCGTAATCAGCGAATCCAAAAGCGACTTTCCTCATTCAAAATATTGCTTAAATATCGTTTTTAAATTTTTCGAAATTTTTCCTAGGGGTACCCCTGCAAAAATGTGGATTTTCGCAATTTCCCCACTTTTGCTCCTTCCGATGGCCATAGCTCTTTCAATTTCTATCCGATCGCGAAATAAGGTACCATTTCGTAATCAGCGAACCCAAAAGCGACTTTCCTCATTCAAAATATTGCTTAAATATCGTTTTTAAATTTTTCGAAATTTTTCCTAGGGGTACCCCTGCAAAAATGTGGATTTTCGCAATTTCCCCACTTTTGCTCCTTCCGATGGCCGTAGCTCTTTCAATTTCTATCCGATCGCGAAATAAGGTACCATTTCGTAATCAGCGAACCCAAAAGCGACTTTCCTCATTCAAAATATTGCTTAAATATCGTTTTTAAATTTTTCGAAATTTTTCCTAGGGGTACCCCTGCAAAAATGTGGATTTTCGCAATTTCCCCACTTTTGCTCCTTCCGATGGCCGTAGCTCTCTCAATTTGTATCCGATCGCTAAATAAGGTACCATTTCGTAATCAGCGAACCCAAAAGCGACTTTCCTCATTCAAAATATTGCTTAAATATCGTTTTTAAATTTTTCGAAATTTTTCCTAGGGGTACCCCTGCAAAAATGTGGATTTTCGCAATTTTCCCACTTTTGCTCCTTCCGATGGCCGTAGCTCTCTCAATTTGTATCCGATCG